CTAAACAATTGTTGTTGTTGTTGTTATGTGCCGTCGACTCGGCCCCAACTCATAGCGACCCCTCCTTGGGTTTCCAAGGCAGTATCACTACGGAAGTAGGATTGCCCAACCTTCCTTCCTCCGAGTGGCCGGTGGGTTTGAACCGGCAGCCTTGTGGTTGGCAGTCAAATGCCTTAGGCACTACGCCACCAGAACTCTGGTGGCTGGGAAAGCGCTGGCCAATTTGGAAACTGGCAGGGGCGGAGCTGTTCGACCCTCAGGAACGGCCCACGTGGTCTGACGTTTCTTCAAAAGATTTTTTTTTTTACTGTTTTATTTTATTCTGGGAAGTAACTTCTTGCCAGGGCCACAGCGGCGCTGGGCTGCAAGCCCTGCGAACTAAAGGCACAGGTTAGGGGCCACGGAGGAGCACGGACGGGAGGTCCCGGCGCCAAAGGCAGGAGCAGCGACAAGGTTTGTGGCTTCGGGAAATCGCGAAGCTGCCTCAGAGGTGGCCTCGCGCTGACGCAGTGCGCTCACGGGGCGGTCCCTCAGCCGGCGGGTTGTAGTTCCGGTTCCGTCGCGGAGACACGTGAAGGTCGGTGAGTTGGTGCGGAGTTGGTCTCGGCACGCGCGGCCGCGCTGGGATGGATTCCTCCTCGTCTTCCTCCGCGGCGGGTTTGGGCACTGTGGACCCGCAGTTGCAGCATTTCATCGAGGTGGAGACGCAGAAGCAGCGCTTTCAGCAGCTGGTGCACCAAATGACTGAACTTTGTTGGGTGAGGATCCTGGGGCTGGGATCTGGAGCCTGTGCTTACTTTCTCTCTGCCCTTACCCACGGGACCCGCTACAACGTCGGGGATTCGGGGAGGGGGAAGCCCCGGGAGGACCCCCTTGATTTCCTCCAGTTCCTTAAGCCGAGCCGGAAGAGGCAAGGGTGACTCCACTTCTCAGGTGACTGTCACTCCGGACCTCGGTCTTGTCAGTGCAAGAGTACTGGGAATCCAAGAAAACTGATGTCACTGTCCCACTCAACACTTTCAGACACCTCAAGTAGAAGCTGACTAGTGCTGGTCACCAAGACTGACCAGAGCTCCAAGTACTGGGATTTTAGTTTTAGAAGCCCAAGTTCAGGGAGTCAGTCAATCTGTTATTTGTGGACTCCTCGAGGTTTACCTTGATTACTCAGTTACTCTAACCCTCCCTCATGAGAAATGAGTGGCTGCAGCCCACTAACTATACCCATTGCCATCAAGTTGATTTTGACTCATAGCGACACTATAGAACAGAGTAGAAGTGCCCCATAGGGTTTCCAAGTTAACTATAAAAGTGGTGTAATCTCTCCCAACAGGCACGCTTATTTGCCTTTCTTATTGGATTGTTGTGTAACACCAAGCTGTTACAGGACTGAAGGTTGAGGAAGTGAGTGTGCCCCATGAGGGGACTTTGGCAAAAGGGTGGAGGGCATTTGCAGCTTGGGCTCAAAGTGTTCTGGCTGGCAAGGACAGTATATTGTCCACAGAATTCAGAGGCCAAGGATAACTTCCTTGGAATGGGAGGGTCTGAGGCATGTCTACCCAGCAGAGAATGAACGAAATTCATTTGTACTACTTGGCTTGAACTGTATACAATAGTCAGTTTCCATTATCCCCTTTTCCCATAAACTTACGGTATGGCTAGACCATGACCTTTAACAAATGCTTACTTAATTCTGGTCTACCTTGAACCAGAGTGCTTTGATTCCTTTAAAATCTGTCATTCTTGACTTTTGGTTCAGGAGGGGGTGTGGTTAAGGACTCCTTTAAGAACCTGGAAGCTATGGACCCTTGGGGAAAATTCATAGAATTCTGAAGATTCAAGAACCTTTGGCTTAAGTAGACAAGGTTACAGAATCTCAGATCTTAGATTATTTTTTTCTTCTGGTAAGTTTTAGGCTGTCTTACTGTAGTGGTAAGGAGCTCTGGTGGCGTAGTGCCTAAGGCACTTCACTACTAACCAGAAGGCTGGCGGTTCAAACCCACCAGCCATTCCTCGGAAGGAAGGTTGGGCAATCTACTTCCGTAGTGATACTGCCTTGGCAACCCAAGGAGGGGTCGCTATGAGTTGTGGCCGACTCGACGCCACTTAACAACAACAACTGTAGTGGTTTATCCTTTCACCCATTATTCTGCAGTGAACTTGAAGGCATTTAATGAGAGCAGAATTAGAGTTAGAAACAAATTCAGTGAAGGGCTACTTGTATTTTACCATGTTTCTGGCTTTTTAATAGCTCTACCATTTTCTGTCTAATGACTGTGGGCAAAGTATATCTATGCTACTGTCGGTTTCCCTCTTTGTAACATGAGGATTAATAATATGGTGAAACCTGTGGGAGCCAGAACTTGGAAGGGACTGCCTTGTTTTTCTGGGTCTCACAAGTTTTCCGTCTTTGACGGGGTGCAGCTTATCACTTTTCTGTTACTCTCTGTTAGTGGAAAATATTTGTGTTTTCCTTCTCTGTCAGATTTCTCCACTTACACAGGTTCTGGCTTTCATAGGAACTGTAGTATCTGTTCCTTAGGGTTGTTGTGAAAATCTAATGTGAGGCTGTAGGAAATTGCTGGACACATGGTCAGCTACCAAGTGTTAACATTATTAGCATCAGCTACTGTTTTGAGATGAAGGTTTTCTGTAATCAATAAATAACTGCCACTCCTTCACGTTTTCAAGTTCCCTTTGTGATTCTGTATCTTGTCCTGAGCAGGAGAAGTGCATGGACAAGCCTGGGCCAAAGTTGGACAGTCGGGCTGAGGCCTGTTTTGTGAACTGTGTTGAGCGCTTCATTGATACAAGCCAATTCATCTTGAATCGACTGGAACAGACCCAGAAATCCAAGCCAGTCTTCTCAGAAAGCCTTTCTGACTGATCTCAGCATTACCTCTTTGGAGAAGGAAGGTAGTTCAAGAAAGGAAGAGCTGTCGATGGGATGGTTGAAGAAAAGGCTATGGGGGGATTGGCTTCTGCCTTTTTGCACTTTGGGGACATCCTGTCTTCTGAGAATGAACAAAGACCAATTTTGTGTGTGTGTGTGGTTTGAGGGTCATATGTGTATTTGGTTGTGGTTTTTTTTTAAATGCTAATCTTGTGAAAATAAGTGGCAAAAGAATGGAAAACTCTACTGGATCCATATTATTGTATGTGGGACTGTGCTTTTCTCAAAGTCCCATTAACTGCTTCCTATAATTTGAGAGTGGTACTCCTTTCTATAATTTGAGAGTGGGACCACATCGGTAAAAATCTCATTTGTGTGGATTCATTTCAGATTTCTGGGAAGATGGGTATGCATATTTGTGTCAGAAAGGGTAAGCTATGGGAGGAGAGTAATTTGGTACTGGAACTGTAGGCTTCCTTACCTATTTTTTGAATATCAGTACTGGGGGGAAAATGTGTGGGACACTGAGACTGTACGCTTCAGTTTTGTAGATTATCTCCTAAAAGATGGTCACTGAAGGCAGTGCAGGCAGCCTGAGGGTCTAGAGGCCTTAGAGTTACAAAGTAATCAAGTCAGTGAACTAATTGTTACTACTAGACTGCCACAAGGAAGAAGTTAATTTTCCCTGTATTTCAGGGTACAACAAAATCAATGATAAAAAAAATTCAATGATGTGCATAAATGAGTCATAAAGATTTAGGCCAAAAACTAACAGAAGTCTCAGGTAGAGTGAGTGCATGCCTAATGTTAATCAGTATAGATTCCATTTACTGCTTTCTTTTGATCACCAAAATAAAAGCTACGAGATGTAACACTGTGATTGAGAAGGCTTTCTATTTTGATCTCACCTGCAACCCAGAGAGGTTTGGTGTGGGCTGTTTATAAGGCTAGAATTTAGTCATTCTTGGTACCTGGTCTGTGCAAGGTATAGCACAGTATCCCATGGCATCCCTGACCATTTTATGGGAAAAAAAAAAAAAAACCTTGAGATGAGATGGGGCGGGAAAGAACTCCATACTGACAATTAAGTCCCTGAGAGCAGGAAAGAGATATATTGACTGGATTCCCTTCCTCTTCAAATCCTCTGAAAATGGTTGAGTCAATTCTGACTCATAGTGACTCCTGTTGGGTTTCTAAGGCAGTAAATCTTTACAGAAGTCCATTGCCTCATCTTCCTTCCACGGAGCACCTGGTGGGTTTGAACCACCAACATTCTGGTTGGCAGTCAAATGCCTTAGGCACTGTGCCACCAGAACTCCTTCTTTAAATCCTTGTAAAGTGGAACCACATGTTCAGAGCCTGTAGTTCATGAAAGTTGGGGAAATAATACATTTTCAGAAGTCTCCAGCCCCTATTTAGCTTTTCCCCACATAAGCACTGCAGAGAAGTTTTTTAGATTGTGATAATGAAAACAATTCAACAAACATTGGAATGCTTACTTTGTGCCAGGCAATGGTTTTGGTGCCAGGGATTCAGTGGTACACAAAGTCCCTTGCCCTCCCCTCATTTTGTGAGGAGAATCAGGCAATAAACATGTAAATATGTCACTATTTTTTTTTTCCTAAGTGCTATGGGGGGAAAAAGTAAGGCTGTTTGGGAATGTGTGTGTGTGAGGTGGTTTTTTTTTTTTATGTAAGATGGTTAAAGGATACCTCCTTGGGAAGGTGGCATCTCAGCAGAAACCTGGAAGAACGAAGTGACCAAGCCATGTGAGTATCTAGGAGGACGTTTCAGGCAGAGGTAACAGCAAGTCCAAAGGCCCCAAGGTGGAGCTATAGGCCCTGTAGAGCAGCCAAAAGGTCATTCATTTTGGCTGGAGTAAAGTGAGTAGGGAGAATGGTAAGAAAGGAGGTCAGAGAAATGTGGTGGTAGTAACAAAAACAATGGCATTTTAAAGCCTAGAAATGAAGTTTTTGTTTGTTTTTATCTGGCACATACCTTGTATCTGTATGTCTTTGTTACATTTTTCCCCTGCATAATTTAATACACATGTAAAACTACAAATCATGAAAGAAGGTTCTTTAGTCTTTTCCTCTTTTTCTTTTCTTTCTGACTGATTTAACTTCCTTTCATATCAAAACATTCTCATTACATTTAGACACACACTTAAATGTCTGTTTTACAATATTTTTGCTTGCTGTACTAATATACACAATGAGAAACTGGGTCTATCACATTCATGCAATGTTTGAGCACCCAACATTTGCCCCCATCCTTGGGAGGTTATTAACTACCAGAATGACAATTGGGATTTTTGTTTGTTTTATTCAATCTCAAATTAGTTTTCAAAACCTAGATGGAAAGGTAGTACTGTCAGCCCTAATGGCATTAAAAATCCTCATTCCAATTCAAGGTAGAAAACTCAAGACTCAACTATAAACCAAAAGTTTTGTTGTAGGCCCTTTTCCTGAAATGAACTTAGAAGCCTAATATATAAAATAGAAAAGTGAAGCGGAGCTGCTCTAGTAGTCGGGGTATCTAGAGCCTTGCATGTGTTCTCTCCTTACACACCCACACTTGCCAGTGGTGCCAGAAGCACTTTGTTACAAGCTTTATGGTTTTACCTAGTATACTGTGAAAATAGGAATAAGACTATCCCTAACATCCCTGCCCTATACATAGAATGTTGGTGAGTAATATTAAATATACCATGGACTTTCAGAAGAATAAACAAGTCTCTTGGAAGAACTATAGCCAAAATGCCCCTTAGAAGTGAGGATGGTCGCTCATTGGTCATGTGATCAGGAAAGACCAGTCCCTGGAGAAGGACATCATGCTTGGTAAAGGAGAGGGTCAGTGGAAAAGGGGAAAACCCTCAATGGGATGGATTGACACGGGCTGCAACACAGCAACTACTGTGAGGATGGCACAGGACCAGACAGTTTCTTTCTGATTTACGTAGGGTCACTATGAATTGAAACTAAGTCAGTGGCATCTAATAATAGAAATAATGTCCTTGCCAATGAATTCAGAACCTAACAGCAATAGCAGATAAAAGGAAATCGAGAACTTCATATTTATTTATGATAATAAATCTTCACTGTTGTTATGTGCTGTTGAGTCGGACCCGACTCATAGCAACCCCTCCTTGGGTTTCCGAGGCAGTATCACTATGGAGGTAGATTGCCCCATCTTCCTTCCGAGGAGTGGATGGTGGGTTTGAACTGCCAGCCTTCTGGTTAGCAGTCAAGTGCCTTAGGCGCTAAGCTACCAGAGCTCCTATAAATCTTCATGTTGTTGTTGTTATGTGCCGTCGAGTCGGACCCGACTCATAGCGACCCCTCCTTGGGTTTCCGAGGCAGTATCACTACGGAAGTAGGTTGCCCCATCTTCCTTCCGAGGAGTGGCTGGTGGATTTGAACCGCCAGCCTTCATAACAAGGTTGAATTGGTAACGAGCCAGTAACCTCATACAGCTTTTGCATTGGATAATGGAAAGAAATTGATGGTCCTTTTTTAAAAACTAGTTTTCCTAATTAATATCTTAATAAAAAAAATCTTGGCCTAGTGAGTATTCCAAAGACTACATAATAAGGGCATCTCTTAAGACATTTCATACTCTCCTTTAGCATTATTATTATTTTTGGCATCTTCTGGATTCAAAAGATGGAGAAAGATATGGTGTACTTCACTATGCTTTTTTTTAGTTTTTTATTTTAAATTGTGCTTTGGGTGCTAATTTACAAAGCACACTTTGTTTTACATCCAACAGTTCATGCACATCTGATTTCATGCTCTGATTACCGTCCCCAACTATAAAAAAAATCCCCCCCCACGACCACCCCTTCCCTGTGTCCTTCTTATCTATGCATTCCTGTCTGTCCAGATTTCCCTCTTTGTGAATGCTGCCCCTCTGGTGTCTCATGGCTGATTGCTCCAATAGGTGATCTCCCTAGAGTAGGTGGGTGCATTTCCCTTGGGTTGGTTTTCTGTAGCAAGTCTGTCTTGGAAGAACTATAGCCAAAATATGGCAAAAGATGGTATACTTCACTTTAAAATCCCTGGCACAGAAAGGGCATTGTTTAGGTTTACTGATCTCAAATGAGAAAGCAACAAGTCAGGACCAAAAGGGACATCTTGAAAAGCATGGAGGGGAAAAAAAAAAAAAAAAAAGGCCAAGGACTATGGTAAGGAAACCACAAATTGTTGAGGGCCACATGCTGACATTCTTTGAAAAGAAAGGCAGAGCAGGTCATGACCACAGTAGTGAAAAGGACAATACCTGGGCATGACTGCTAACATTATAAAAATATCCAAGGCCCTGTTCAGATAGTTAGAATGCTTATATACATCACAAGACAAAGCAAAAGTATCCAGCTCAGGGCTGGTTTTGTAATTGTTGGGTGCTGTACAGTTGGTTCCAGCTCACAGCAATCCTGTGCACAAGAGAATGAAACACTGCCCGCTCCTCTGCCATCCTCACAGTTGTGGCTATACTTGAGCCCATTGTTGCAGCCACTGTGTCAGTCCATCTCATTGAGGGTCTTCCTCTTTCTCACTGACCCTGTACCAAGCATAATGTCCTCCAGGGACTGGTCCCTCCTGATAACATGGCCAACGTACTTGAGACGAAGTCTTGTGATCTTTACATGTAAGAAGCATTCTGGCTGTACCTCTTCCAAGGCATATTTGTTCGTTTTTCTGGCAGTCAGTATTCTTTGCTAACACCATAATTCAAAGGCATTAATTCTTCTTTGGTCTTCCTTATTCATTATCCAGCTTTCACATGTATATGAGGAGACTGAAAATAACATGACTTGGGGCAGGCACATCTTAGTCCTCAAAGAGACATCTTTGCTTTTGAACACTTTAAAAAGATTTTTTTTTTTTAATTGCAGATTTGTCCTATTCGATACATTGCCTGATTTCTTTACTGCTGCTGCTTCCATGGGTGTTGATTGTGGGTCCAAGTAAAATGAAATCCCTGACAACTTC